TGTTAATATTCTGACTGGCCCTGCAGGTGATAGTGACTCTTTCTCCTGGAGATGCAGACAGGGAGGATGGAGACTGGGTCATCATGATGTTACATTTGGCACCTGACATTGGAAACATAAACATAAAAATTCTTATAATTAATCATGTTTCAAGAAAACTGTCCTGAGTAGCCAGGCAGCACTGACCACACTGTGATTAGTACATCCCCAGGACTGTCCCTCCTTACCTGGGAGGCAGACCAGCAGAAACCCCAGGAGCTGAACATGGGCCCTTATGACCATGCTGTGTCCTGTCAGGGACTAACTCCTGCAGCCAATTAAGAAGTCCTCAGGGCAGTGGGCTTTACTGTGGGCACATGCAAATCAGCTGGGCTAGGCAGGCTGGGCATAGCTGCAGGGCTTGTCCATATGTCACTCAGCACAGGGCAGGTGCCCATTGTCCCAGTTCAGTTGAGAGCAGCATAGATGTGCCAGAGCAGGATATGATTCACCTGGAAAACACAGGACACAACCAGAATACTCTCCTTGAGGAGTGACTTATTGCTTTCTTCATGATCTAGGGAAGGCTTTTCTTGTGTCTCCTGTGATCATTTCTTTATTAATGACCATAGGAACAGGAAGGAATTAAGAGAAAAATTGACAATTCATGCTTAGGATGTGAAAAGTACACTGAAAACAGAAAGAAATCACAATTGGTAAACTCTGTGATGTGGTTCAGGTTTCTGTACTCATTGGCCTTGCTGGACCAGGAGGCCAGGGTGGGATGGAACCCAGTATGATTGTGCCCTTCCTGCCTCAGTGTCCCCAAGACACACTTAGACATGTGATGGTTCCTCCCATCCTGAGAAGAGCAGGCAAAGCCTACACAGGCTCTTTCCTAACTTAGAAGAGTGATTTTAGAAGCAAGTTTTAGTTTCTTTCATTGCTCTACTGAAGTTGGGGCTCAGGCCACCCTGGGCCCCTGTGCACTGAACAGTGACCTGCTCCTAGCTGAGGACTACAGGCACATCCTGGAGACACAAGTGGAATTGCAACCCTCCCCCCAACACTTCTGTCTTGTCCTCTGTGGATACATCCAGCGTCTGGTCACAATCACTGAAAGG